TTACGACAACAAAACTAACTAATGAAGTTTCTTCTCATTATCAAAATCAATTTATGAAACAACTTCACGTATTGGTACTTGGACTTGATGTACTTGGAAATCCACTTGCTGTTATTCGTGGTCTTGCTGAAGGTGTTGAATCATTCTTTTATGAACCTTATAAAGTAATATTTTAAAATAAAAACTAATTATCACTAAATTATTGACATTTGTATTTCATTTTCAAGGGTGCAATCGAAGGTCCTCTAGAATTCGCTGAAGGTGTAGCAACCGGTGTACGAGCATTATTTAGTTCAGCTGTTGGCGGTGCTGCTGGCGCTGTCTCAAAAATAACAAGTGTGTTTGGAAAAGGCCTAGCAACATTAACATTTGATGAAGATTATAAGGCTTCACGTATTCGCCGCAAAGAACCAGGCGCTACTACCGCATCACATATAGCTATGGGTGGAAAAAATGTTGTCATGGTTTGTTAAGGCTTTTTTTTTTGCTATATTTGATTTGGAGATTTATTTATGTTTTAACATAGGGTTTTGTTGATGGTTTTAAAGGTGTTGTAACAAAACCAATCGAAGGAGCAAAAGATGGTGGAGCATCTGGATTTTTTAAAGGTTTAGGAAAAGGCTTTATTGGTGTTGTTGCACGACCAACGGGCGGAGTCGTCGATTTTGCTAGTTCATCATTTGATCTTATCAAACGGTAAGATAATCTCGTCTATGGACACCATTCATTGATTAAACACAATTACGAGCATGAAAATAACTATTTGACTAAACATGTTCGAGAAACATCAAAATACTTTACTCAAATTTCATTCTCTTCTAGAACTGCTCAACAAGAAGAACTTGTTCGCCGTGTTCGTTATCCACGTCATATCAATCCTGATGGTCTTGTTAGACCATATATTGCTCATGAAGCTATGGGATTTTATATTTTAAATGTAGTATTAGTCTTTTCCAACAATTTTTCCAATGCTTATCTTTTTCTTAATAAATTTTTAGCGATTAGAAGATGGTAATATTGCGAAGAGAGAGACATATGTTGCTCACATAACTTGTTCAGAAGATCCACTATGTTGGTTAATGGCTACTTCGAAATAAAATGGAATTATATATGTTTTAATTCTTAGTTTGATTTTCAATATTTTCAGAAGTTTATTATTTATTATTGAAATATCAATTCTTGGTTTATATAAAATTGATTGGCAACTTGCATATGAAGAGTTAAACGAAGTGCCGAGTATAAACATAAGAACAGGTCAAATTCAAATTTTACCAAAAGTAAGTACGAAAAAGAACCGAGCAACTCAACCAAAACACTCAGTGAGGATAGTCATATATATATATATAGATTTGTTATCTCTGGTTGATTCAATAATAGTGAAATGTTAATTGAATTTATTTTTACTTTTTAGGAATCAAAGACAACTGGATTTCTAAAAACAAAAACAACTCGAGCAGTTCCAAAATTAGTTAAATATCAAACTGTTTCTGAAGCTAAAGTAAATTGAAAACTTTTTTGATTATTTTCATGCGAGATTTATTGAGTTCATGATACAAAATAAATCTGTTTGATATATTCGTATCAATAGTAAAGGCAGGGTC